AAAATATTGATTAATAAAATAAAATAAAAATTATTAAATTAGATTCAAATGATGTTTTAATATAAATAATAATTTTTAAATTTTGCTCAAACTCTTATTGTCTTATCGCTACATGATTAGGGTGATTAAAAAGCCCCTTTGTTCGTGAACAGCTCGTTTTCGGCTCGTTAAACAAACGAGCCGAACATGAAGACACTTTTTGAGCTCGAATATATGATTAATTTATATATGTATATATAAGTATTTATTATATATTAAATTTCACTCTCCAATTATTAAAATCATGCATGATTGCATATCTATATAATTTTTTTGGTAATTCTATTTTGCTACATGGGACAAACTGTCAAAACGCCATTAATGACTTACCCAAATTGTCCACTAAAAATTTGCATAGGAAAATTTGTAAAAAGCCCCTTTCCTATTTTATAAATTACAAAATTTAGGGTGGGCAAGGTTCTCTCTTATCATAAAGGTTAGGATATTGAGGGTGAGATTAGAAAATTTTGAATAAGGAGTTTGGACAATTGGTCATTGCTTAAGTCTGCCCACCGATAGAAAAGATTTGAGTGGTACAAATGTAAGCAAGTAGAGTTTGGTTGTTAGATATGTAAATACCTAAAAAATGGGTGGTATGCATGTAAATGCCCCTAAACTAATCCTAGGTATCATCTCTATCACCAATTGGATAGTTATTTATAGGAAGAAGTAGGGGAATATGATTTGAATCATCTAATTCAAAATATCACTTTGGTAGATTGCAGTCGAAAGGGAACAGCAACTATAAACATTTGATGTCTATCAAAGTTTAATGTTTAGCATCTGCTTATTATCAATGTTTGATGTTAACTGTGTGGTTGGTCATTTTCTCCTCATATTAAGAGAATAGTCAAGTCAATATAGTATAATGATTAATACATAATATGTGCCAATATTTTTTATCCCATAGTAAGTAACATTTTTGAATTGTTGATGTGTAAAGCTAATCTTCTTAGTTGCTTAATCTATGCTTCGATTAGAGGGATGATGACTATCTGGATTGTCTTCCAACGAATAATGTCCTATGTCTGTTAAAGACGGTTGTCTAATATGTATATCGACCATTAGCATTAAACACCAGGCTTTAAACTCACTTGATTTCCCTTTTTATCAAAAGAATGACAATAATAACAGATTTTAATGAATACTAATTGATATCTACCAATATTCAGTACTAAAGATTGCTAATGTAGGTGCTTGATAACCGTAAATGCTTGATACACTCCAAGGAATGATAAACACTAACATTAAATGCTAATCAGTAGCCCATGCTTGTCATCTAGAATGTTTGCATGGATTGAATTTAAATCTTATTTCATGGGATGGTCTCGACTAAGCATATGCAATAATTTGGTAAAGAAATGACCCACAGAAGAAGTTGGGTATTATAACGTAATTATTGAAGGCTCTTATGAAGATAATAGAAATATTGCATATTTAGTATGTTTATAATTTCCTGAGAATACCCTATGATATTCTCAAATCCTTTAGATTCCACCACACCCTTTAAGGTGGGATTATTCTCCAAATGTTGAGTCATGTCTCCAATCTTCACCCCTCATAAATGAATCGTGTACCTTTTTTTTATTTTTTAAATAACAACCTATTTATAACATTTTTCAGTCTATCACGTGTTTAGTAAATTCTCTTACGAATCTGAATGATGGTACCCATAGATCATTATTACGCAACAGCACCGAAGTTATCCTTTTACATATATTTTTTTGTTAAATTACTTTAAAACATGTGATTCAATCATGTTATACACCCCTTACATCGAATGCACCATATGCCAAACACTCTTGCACATAGCTCTCCTTTTGCATTATCTTGTCCCTTGACCTTAAACATGTAAGATATTGGCAATGTGCACTTGTTAAGTAAAATACTAGGGTGTTTTTTGGCTCTTAAATTGACAAAATACTCATTTGATTTTATTGCAACTCTACAATATATTGACATTCTCATACTTTCTTCTATAAAATTTTAAAGGTTCTTATAGTATCATACTTATTAAACATAGTGTATTACAAAAGGTAAAACAACAAACTGGTTTTATAAATTACATAAAATCATTATAAATCTTATATTCTCTATTTAGTTGTCATTTCAAAGTTGACTTTTTGGCTGGCCAAAAATACCTTATCTTTATTAGACTAATAGATTGAAGTATTTTATTATGATTTTATTAATTGTTTGAAAGGCCATGTAACTAGAATTGATTATTGGCTTGTCTTGGTATCATGTATTAATATTAACGTACTATTCCTTAGTTTCCATAATTCTATGTTCATAAGCTTTCTCACTAAACAAAATATGAATTAAATTTTTTGCATTATGTTAAAGTATGTTATATGATATATGCATAAATCATCATTATGGAAGTTGTGTCCTTAGTAATATACATATTGTAAAATAATTTTACCCTTGCAAATAATGTACATCTATATGATCCTTCTTTTGTGCATTGAGTTAAATGAATATTTTTATGTAACCTACTTGGTTTATTATTTACAATATTATACATGTATAATTTCATTTAAAAAATATGCTATATACTAAAAAAAAAAACGATTGCTAAGAGATTGTGTTTTGATTATATAAACTAATGATATGTTGTGATCATTGTAAATAATTTATTGGATATAAATAATATAATTTATAATTGAAATTTTTGTTTCTTACTTTTGAATTTATTTTACTCTTATGATTTATTAGTGGCTATATATACAGTGTAAATAGGCTAAAAAGTTATTTTAATTAGATCCTAGATAGTTAATAAGCCTAATATATGAGATGATATAAATTTAATGTTAATAAACAAATTGAATCTCATAATATCCTCATGCCATGAATTCAAACTCAACAAAATATACGTTAGTATAGTAGTCACTTTAGATTAGATCATTACAATATAGTGAAATTGCTCATAATTCTAGCCTAAAATAATATATTATTGTATTCCTTAGTTATAAGAAAAGATAACCATTTATAATCATTGATTTGCACTAGCAACAACATTTTATATAAATTATGCTTGAGAATTTTCTCTTCTCAACTTTTAAGTTAAAGTCTTGCGTTTTAAATTTATTTTATTTATGTGATAATATTACATAATCCTAAGTCATTAAATTTATGTGTAGCATTGTGAATATTTTAATTAACAACAATGCAATTTTTTTTTTAAATGGTTGTCCAAAAATAATTATGTGGCATAACCTGATCTTTAAATATTTTCTTATAACATTTTTTTATTTAATTGTGCAACATCATATGGTTTTTTTTGGCTAACAAATGCTATCTCTTAGGATATTTAATCTTAGAAAATGAAGTTATTACATTAGGATTCGCTTGTCTTTAAAATGGGTTATAGTCTAAGAAAAACTTGATGGTTATGATACTTTAGTTCCACATATTGATTCTTCTATGTTTAATCTTCTTCTCCAACCTTCTATTAAACTTCTTCATCCTTTTTTTTCCCTAATGGAATTTGATATTAAATCTATAGATCCCACTGACAACATGTGTTCACTCAAATTATGATCAATGTTTGCTAGCTTCATTCGCTTAAGTAGATCATGAGCTCATTTGCTTTTAACTATATTTAATATTTATAGCACCATTAAATGGCATCTAGCCTCCATGGCTCTCTATAAATATCAGACAATAATCATGTTAGAGTCATCATTTGGCCTCCTTTCTATGCACAATATCTCTTACAACCCTACACTATATCCCACCTTTAACATTGCCCTTTGCAAGTACAACAATCAACCCTATAGGTTATCTTTTTTTTTTCCATAATTTCCCCTCACCCACTACCCGAATATCAACATAAAATAAAACTCCTTTTATACCATAATGACAACCACCTTGTCTTCCGTCTCATAATGCAAGTTTGTAAAAACCATTTTGGGTTATTCAAATGGTAGTTATGATGATCTAGCGTACTAGATAATTTTTGCCCAAAGAGAATCACTAAGTTGGTCTAACCTAACCACTCTATCCACATAGACATTCTTTAGCTTCCCATGATCGGTCAAGATTTTTAAACCCGTAAGTTATCATTTCAACCCATCACCTCACCATATGAAATTCAACAATCACCACTGAAAATTCAATTGGTAATCATCCATTTCCAAACACTAAACTTCATCACCAGCTAATTTTCGACTAAACTTGGACAACCATAAAAAGCCTTGTCGGTGAACAGAAAGCGTGCAACATTATTAATAATCAGCCAATATATAAACGCATACCTCTCTCTCTCTCTCTCTCTCTCTCTCTCTCCATGTTATCACAAATTCTCATATATATATATATATGCATGAAGTTTTTCTGAAAAAAAAAACATTTCTTTTACTATAAAAGCTGCACTATTTCTATTCATGACACGCAATTCAAGAAACAGTAAAGACTCTAATTAAGGGTCCGTTTGGGGCAGCTTATAAGTGTGGGCGGCCGTACCGTTTGGTTCGCGCGTTTGACTAGTTTATACGAAACTGCGTTTGGGTTTTTACACTAAACGCATGTCGCGAGTCGACCCCCGCGGTCGACCTAACAGACCCTAAAGGTTTAACGTTAAAAAAAATCAATATCATAAAATTGAAATAATAAAAAAATCAATATGTAAATTTAAATTGAGGACATAAACTTTACTAGCAAGAAATGGCAAGTAATATCAATTCTAAAATATATTGTTTGCATTGATTTAGATATTTTTCTGTAATTGCAAGTCAACTTAAGTTCATAAGAAAACAAACATCAAATCGGCTAAAAAAAAAAAAAAAAGTCAGGTCAAAAGTTTCAAATAAACTAAAATCCATGGTGGAGAAGAAGATTAAATGATTCACAATCATGTTTAATGCTGACATTATATAATCATGACGTGCAAAATAAAAAAAAAAAAATTGAAATTTAGCAATTGAACGAGCAAAGAAACTGAAGGTAAAGTTCCACCATGTCTTCCTTAGAAATTATATATGCATGCAACATAAGATTATATGTATCATAGGTCCACCTTGTAGCAGAAACCTAGACAATATCTCCGACATGAAACTTTATTCAATCTGAACTGCCATTACCAGTTCAATCTTCCCTCATTAAACCTAATAATAATTTAAGCAAATTTTCTGAAGAAAATGAATTTTGCATGATGGAGATGAGCATATAACATATAAAACGGAGCAAACTAGCATTCCCATTGCAGTTGCTCTATGGAGTTATCACCACAAAACACTGAACCACAAGGCATCAATTCAGATTCCATGAGCTCAAGATCGAAGCTTGGATCCCCATTAATTAATGCCTCATTAAACTGATCCCCCTTATCCCCCATGCACTGCAACACTTCTCCTTGCTGCCCTTGTCTTTCACCATTTTGCTTCCCTTCATCAGCCAATATTGCCTCCTCAAGAGGATTACTGCTGGCCCAAATGCAGCAATGATCGTCCATGAAGTCTGGCTCATTAGGAGATATTTGCATGATGTTTGCATGATCAAGGGAGGAGGAAGATGTGCTAATGTTGTATTCATGAGAAATATGTTCCTTGAAGCTCATCATGAGATTAGGGTCTTGGTATTGGAAGGTGGAGGTGGGCATGGAGTCATGCAATGGAAGGGGATTTGAAGAGGTTTGTAGTGGGGCCATCATCTTCCTTGAATCCATTTCCTTTATGTTGGAGCTAATGGTGAAGGGCGTGCATGTGTTTTGTGGGAAGTGAGAAATGTTTGATGTGTTGTTGATATAGGGAGGCCTTGTGTTAGGGATTAGGTTATGAGTCTTTGGATCTAAGCCCTGAGCAATGAGTTTCTTTTTGATGCATGAGTTCCAAAAGTTTTTCACCTCATTATCAGTTCTTCCTGGTAAATGCTTTGCTATTTGTGCCCACCTGAAAAGTTAAGGTAAATGAAAATTTTGATCAGATCATAAGGTTTCTTTATCATATTATGGAGATCAATATTCTCTTATAAAAAAATGCTTTATACATTTTTCATATAGAATTGCATGAATGTCATGTTGTTTGTGCTTCCTTGTTGAAGTTCATGTCATCAGGAATAAAAATCACAGGAAAAATTCATAAGCCGGGCATTTTTCTTATAATTTTGCATAAGAATTTTTTCTGGCCTGTGAATTTACATTGCATTGTGTGTTAAATCATGATACATGTAATGATTGCAGCACAATATCTATATCAAGCCCATAAGCAAAGAACACTTTCTTTTAAGAAGAACATATTTATAAAAAGCTTCCCTTGATGAAGCTCATGACAATCATCCCAATGTAAAATTAATGACATGCATGCATCAACTCATTTCTCTATATGAAATTCTATAAGGAGTTCAAAATATGAATCATAAACCTAGCTTCTTTAACTAAGCTCCCTTTTAAATAAATTGCTTGGCTATAAAATAAATAGAAAAGAGCTCCTTCCTCAAGCATATTTTCATAACAAAATTTCTCCAAGAAAATACAAAATAAAAAATAAGCCCAACAAAGCTTATCATGAACCAAGCTAGGGTTTTGTTCACCTGTTCCCAAGAATTCTATGAACATCTATTATAACTCTCTCCTCATGTTCTGTGAAGGACCCCCTCTTGAGATCTGGTCTGAGATAGTTTATCCATCTCAACCTGCAGCTCTTCCCACACCTTTGCAACCCTAATATTCCAAGCAAGAATAAGAACAAAGATCCAGAAAAAAATACACATAGATCTAGAGAGAGAAAGAAAGAACCAGCTTGTTTGGGGACTGCACTCCAGCATCCATGGCCATGTGTAGTGATATATCTAACAAGCTTCTCATCTTCCTCAGGAGACCACAAACCTCTCTTCACCTTCTGCCTGCTGCAGCAGTGATGCCCCATCTCAATTTGCTCTCCCACTCCTCCTTCCAACCTCTCCTTTGCATTAAATATAGATCTTACTCAAATCCTAGAACTCATACATGCTTATAGAAGCACTCCATGCATACACGAATGAATGGATTACGAGTCTTCATAATGTAACCCTAATTTTCTTATGAGAGAAGTTGAATAAGTTGCAAGAAACGTCTTGGATTGTACAAATATGAGGTGATTAAATATTATTTTATAATCATGTGTGTTTTAATACTAGTAAATGTTGAATTTTTAATAGTTTTTGATTAGTATTAGTCACATTTGACAGTTGTTGTAACCGGTCATACGATTAGTCAGTCACACACAAACTCCTGTCAGCACAAGGCATTGTCTTTAGTGTAGCCGGTTAATGAGTCGCAATAATGATGAATTTCTTTGGTGGGAATTGCCATTGAATGCCGTAGATATAGAGATTATATTTTATGGATAAAACTATATTATTAAGAGAAATTATATACATACATGGTCTAATTAATCAAAATCACCTTTTTTAATTAATTAAATTATTATTAAGATTATTAAAAATATGTTTTATGATCTCACAAGTTGAGTTATACTCACACTTGCCTAAGATACGCGTGATCATATTTGGAAATTTAAAGGAAAAAAGAAAAAGCAACATTTTATCAACTTTTTTGGACTTTTATTTTATTTTATTTTTTGAAGAAATGTGATTGTTTATAATTTGACAAAAAGCATGACAAATTCACAATTGTAATTTAGGGTTATTTTAAGTCATATTAAGATAAAAAAAAATTATTGCTAAACATAATTTTTCATGGCTTTTCTTAGAACTTCTATGAAGTTATATCTCCTATGAGTTGTTGTGATTGATTGATGCTTCACTTCTTCATACAATGGCTTAATTTGTTTCAATAATGATTCATTTCAATCTATGGTGTAAGCTTTTGGAATTTCCTAAGGAAAAAAAAAAGGATTTTTACATATTAATCATCCAAAAGTTTGAATATAATGAATTGGCCATCCAAACTTACAATTTTACATTTCTACCACCTTAAAACCACCGAAAGCTTTAGGGTTTGCTTGGGGCAGCTCGTGCGTTTCAGGATAAACAGCTTATCCTGAAACGCGGTCAGCGGGTAGACTGCGGGGGTCGACCCGCGGCTTGCGTTTAGTGTAAAAAATCCAAACGCGGCAGGTTGCGTTTTCAAAAACGCTCAAACCAAACAGTTAAGTGGTGTTTTTATGAAAAAATTATCTATGTTGTCTATGTTGTCCAATCAACTTTACTTTTTTTTTACATCTTTTATGAAAATAACTTTTTTTTATAATTTTTCTTCTTAGAAAAATGTGGCAATATATCAATTTCTTAGGATCGTTTTCTTCAAAAAGATGTAAAAGCAACATTTTATCCACTTTCTTGGACTAATATTATAATTTTTAGTTTCTTTTATTATAAAATGCGATCCTTAATTTTTAGATTGATAAAGAGAGTCCCCTCATTAAATTAATTATTTTTTTACATTTTAAACACATTTGCAATAACCATACCCTTCCAATGTTTATTGTCGCTTAAGAAAAAAATGTGACTACAATGCAAGCTTCTGTTAATTAAGTTGTCAAGGTAAATATGAGCAAAGAGTTATGTTTTGTGTTAGATATTTTTAGTGGTACAAGTTAATCAATGGTTTGGCTAAAAATAAGATTGTGTAATCAAATATCAGTGATGTGTTCTTAGAAAATTATTTTAATCTTGCACGAATCTCGGAAAATTTGAATCATAAACTTTCATAATTCAAATTCAAGATCATCCAGGGCCCTGATTCCAATAAACTTAGAGTCAAACTAGCTATCATGATAAGACAAGCCTAAGGAAGCTAAAATTAGTTCGATCTGAGTCTGATCAGGCCTATATCAAATCGTTTTATTGCAATTGGGGACTTTGGATGGGCGATTGAATGGTCAAATAAATTTCAAATCTAACAAGCTTATAATCAAATCAAGAGACCCATCGAGCAAATGTAATAAGCCCAAGCTCACTCAATTCAAACATCATTAAGATACTCAAATACTCATTTAACATTATCCAATCTAAGGGATAGCTCCAGGTTATTCGATGGAGGGGTTCAGATTCATATAATATTTATAGAAGATGCACGTCGCAAAATCTTAAAATTATAGATCCCCAGTCCCCTCATAAAAGGGAGCCTGGACCTTGAGGAGCAATCTGAAGGAGCTATAAGTTTTTTAGGGCTCTTGAGCTCTACCACGATCATACCACTGCTACCTGGTCTCAGCCAGACCATCGCTACCTGGTCACCGCTGAGCCATCGCCACAACCATCACTGGAAGATCGCCACTACTTTCCAGCTAATGTCGATCATTTATCGTCACTGTAGGACCATTGATACCCTACCACCACCATCGATTTATTGTTACAACAGGACCACCATCACCACTTCCCGACCACTGCAGACCATTCGTTGCCATGGTTGGACCACCACTGCATGGTTACCATCGTCGAGCCGCCAACACCATTGAACCACTATTGCGTGGCCACTGCTGGACCATCGTCATCGCTTCTCAGCCACTATGGTTTTGACGCTGCTATCGAAGACATTGGCGGTAGATACTCTAACACAGGACCCCTATAGTCAGCTTTCCTTCACAACAACCATGTTATCACAAATTCTCCAATATTTTTTACTACTTCCCTAATAAAATTCTCAAAACATTTATGTAATATTGCTTCTGGCCATTTAAGGGTCCGTAAAACCTTTTAACATACATCAATATACAACAATTATTTCAACTGGGTCATACTAAGAATTTTTTCTCTTTTGAGCTTTTCACGTATAAATTCTTGTTGTATTTTCTATCTTTTTTTTTTACTTGTGCGTGTGTGTGTCAGATATTCATAGAACACTAAGCAATTTTTTAAATTCATAGCACATAACAACATACTATGTAATAAACTTAAAATAAAATAGTACATTATTATAAACATGAATCACAAAACTGTAATGTGTAAGGTAAAACTACTAAAACCAAAAACATAAAAATACGCAATAAACTGAAATTTGAAATTCAATGAATACAACAATAATCTAATATTGAAAGTAACTTACTCATTTTACTCAACATCATTTGAAGAGTGACTGGAGGATGTAGTTATGATCTCTTCTTCAAATACATCACCAAAGTAGTACTATCACTGAAGTTAATTTTTTCATACTCTTTGGTAGTAACCTTTAGATTGAGCTCTTCATCAATTGCATCAAGAGTGAAAAAAAAACCTGTCATTCAGATTCTTGATAAGCATGTTCAATGTTATTCTAAATATTAATAATGGCTCTTGGTTTACTTGAAATGACAACCGCCCAGACAATTATATCTCTTACTCTATGTGGATATCGAAGATAGTAAACCTAACTTGCCTTTCGGGCTAGAATGGAAGGATCAAATTTAGTATACATTCTATTCACTTTCATATTTGCGATATTGTATAGTTGGTTTGCCTTGTTCCACGATTAGAAACAAGATCAAGCCACATACATTTGAATAAGAATACATTTTCTCCATAGAGCTTGGGTATGATAGTTCACCAACTTCTTTCATAATCCAATGATATCTTATCACATGATTTATCGTTTGCTTTAACATTAATGCTGGAATTAAAAAAACATTTTTTCCTTCAGACCCAGATCTTATATGATACATTTACCCATTTACAACGTAAATTTGCCATATTTTTACTTTATATATAGGTACCCAAACAAGATCTATCAACCACTAATCTGTCACTCCATTTCTTCAATCAATATATACATAAGAAATCCTATTTCAATGAAAAGCCTTGTGTCACATAAGAAATGAATATGTCAATTTTTAACTCCCATGCATTATAAACCACTTGGGGAAGCTATTCTCAATCTCTATGCTAGTGTCATCGTCCTCAATTAAATTTAACAAATCTATGAGTAAAGTGTTCATACATTGAAATATCGTTGAAATAGCTAATCAAGAAATTTTTTAGATGAATGAGTGAAAAATTATTAAAAAATTGTCTTGCTCAATAAAGAGTTGTACTTCATCGCAATTGAGAAGAATATAAAGTGTCGCTGCTCGTTTTTTATCATTAAAGTAATGTGATATGCACCTCCTTGATGATTCATATAATTGCTGGAAAATAGAAATGGTCGATGGTGGTACCAAGCCAAATAAATCTTTTGTGGATTCTTCTTCCACAAAATGATAGGAGTAGAATGTCGTTTCCTCCTGTAGTAAATATGCTTCACATATTAATCCTTCTGGCTGACCTTATCCTTCACAGTTCTTTTCAATTTATTCAAAAATCTAAAAAATAAATGTTGCTTAGCACATATTAACAATTTTCTTTATAAATGAGTGATGAACTACCTAGTCTCAAAGTAATTGCATCTCAAAAAGATACATCTAGTGGTATTATATCGAACCTCCAATTAATGCCTTGTGGGGTAAATGTATAAGCAGATGCTCTACCCAGTGGAAAAAACTAGACAAAAATATTATCTCGAGCTTGCAAAGTGTAACAGGAACGTTTTCTTCCAACTGACTTATGCCATCAAGTTCCAAACAAGCTGCAAATACTTTCCTTAAGAACACACTTCACTTCACAAATAACTAAATGTGTTTTTTATCAAATCTTGTAGAAAATATGGCAGTTGTGACTTTTCATTCCTAATATTTTTCCAACACTCACATCAATACAAAACTCAAACTAAATGTGTTTTTCTGCTTTGTCTGCTCCCTCTTCTTCTGGTACTGCGGGTGTGGCAAGAACATTCGTTCCAAGCCACTAAAGATAATGTTGTGATTTCTTGAATATCGGTGAACATGTCCCTTAGGTGATTGCTGCCCTTGCGCTCGAAGTTGCGCTGGTTGTGTGCCTTGTACTCAGGGCATCATGAGAATTGTTCTAAAAAATTACAACGATTATGTTAGTATGATAAATAAATAAAAAAATTATGCAACTTTCATAATAATATTTAATTTATGTATAAATAAATAACTTTTTTTGTATAAATAAATAAATAAAATTTATGTATGAATTTTTTTCATGCATAAAACCTAAAAAAGATATTTTTAAATGAAAATGGTGTGTGATCATCATCAAACTAATATGCATGATTCTCATAT